TCTTCAAGCAACAACAGCTTCAAGGAAGCTGTCACTTCGGCGGAGGAGGAACAGTCAGAGGGTATGTGGAATACAATGCACTGATGCGCGTAGCTATGAAACACTTAGCTTATATCCACGGTTTGGTTGACCTTAGCTACAGAAGGTGATACATATCAGATAGATTCTGCACGACGTCAGATAGGACTCACGTCAGCCGTGTTCCTCATCTTCAACCGCATGATTGGCACTGGAATCTTTGCGACACCTAGTAGTATCTTTGCTCTGTCAGGTAGTGTGGGGCTGGCCCTGTTCATTTGGGTTGTGGGCATGATCATTGCTGCCTCGGGCATGGCGGTATACAGTGAATTTGGGACCGGGCTTCCTCGAAACGGCGGAGAAAAGAATTACTTGGAATACGTGTTTCGGAAGCCGCGGTTCCTGACATCGTGCATGTATGCTGGATATGTGTTTTTCCTAGGTGAGGCAGGTTAAACTTTCTTGCCATTGAAGGCCCACCATTTATGCTAACTGAGAGCAGGTTGGGCGGGATCTAACTCTGTCATCTTTGGCGAGTACATCCTACGCGCAGCGCAGGTCGAGGTAACGCGTTGGAATCAGCGAGGTGTTGGACTTGCTTGCATCACCGCTGCATTTTTAATCCACGGCTTTGCCTTGAAATGGGGACTGCGTCTACAAAACCTGCTAGGCGCTATAAAACTCATTATCATCGTTGTAATTGCCGTGGCAGGCTGGGCTGCACTGGGAGGCGCTCTCAAAGTTGAGAAGCCGAACAACTTCCATAATGCCTTTGAAGGAACCAGGGGAAGCGCGTATGGAGTGGTCACGGCCCTATATAGTGTCATTTGGAGCTATGTTGGGTACAATAATGCCAATTATGCGTTGAGCGAGACTAGGAATCCTGTACGGACGCTGAAGATTGCCGCCCCTCTCGCGCTGGGGATTGTATCGATATTGTATATGTTGGTAAATGTATGGTTACCTCTCCCCTTCCCCTCAATTGGAATTGATTTTCCGCTACTCACATGGTTAAATGATAGGTTGCCTATTTCGCTGCAGTACCAAAGGAAGAAATACTTTCCTCCGGCCGTGTTCTTGCCGCATCCTTTTTCCGAAATGTTTTTGGCCCCAAGGCTGAACGAGCACTATCCGTCTTCGTCGCGCTCTCAGCTTTTGGCAATGTGCTTAGTATTATCTTCTCGCAAGGCCGTTGTATGTCTCAACCTCCGCACAGCATCTCTGCTACATACTTCTCTCTGATATCATGACAGTGGTCCAAGAACTTGGTCGTGAGGGTATTCTCCCATTCTCTCGGTTATGGGCCAGCAATAAACCCTTCGACGCTCCTCTCGCCGGCCTTTTTGAGCACTGGCTTGTCTCGGTCATTATCATGCTAGTTCCCCCACCTGGTGATGCGTACAACTTTATTCTTAAGTATGCATCCACAACCCACCCACCTACTCCCGCTGTCAACGAAGCCTTCCTACAAAAGCTTAATTTACTAACATATCCATACGCACACACGCACACACACACACAGTGTAATCTTATACCCCGTTTCTATCATCAACACCTTCGTCGCCGCCGGCCTTATTCACCTCTACCTCAACCGGTCGAAATACAACTGGAACCCGCCCGTCAGAGCGACGCTGCCAGTGGTAATCTTCTTTGGCCTCAGCAACATATTTCTTGTTATTGCGCCCTTTAAACAACCCGAAGAAGGCCAGAATGTCTACAACCAACTGCCCTACTACCTCCATTGCGTTGTGGGCATTGCGATTGTGGTTGCCGGTGGTATTTACTGGCTCATCTGGGCGCAGTTGTTGCCGTGGTTGGGCAACTATCGGCTTGAGCAGGAGGCGTTTGTGGGAGAGGATGGGTGGGAGAGGAAGGTGCTTGTAAAATATGGGAAGTAATTGTATTTGCCATTTTGGAGTGTTTGCCTAACTAACTTGGATCTTTATAAAATTATAATTTCGTTTAGTGTAAAATTTTGTTTTATTTTATTATTTATTTATTTATTTATTTATTTATTTATTTATTTATTTATTTATTTATTTTATTTTATTTTATTTTATTTTATTTTATTTATTTATTTAATTTTTAATTTTTAATTTTTAATTTAATTTAGTTTAATTTAAATATTATTATTATTATTATTATTATTATTTGAGATATTGAGTGATGTCATGCTTTTTGACTCTATAGCAAACCCAACGTTTGGATCGAGAGAAGCGACCGAAGCTTTGCACAGAGAACTTCCGCCGCTCCTTTTCGTCTGCGATTAGGTTTTGTCCAAGCAATCCATAGATGCCGATCACAGAACGGGTACTTTCGACCAAAGCACCATAGATCTTCAGCTAGAAAACCTTCCTACTATTCAAGGTGTATTATTTTCTTCGCCTGCCACTGCAGGCTGCCAGGCTTTTAGCCTCTGTGCTCCTGATATTCTGAATTTAGCATTTATTATTTGAGAAATGTTTGATTGCTTTGAGAGTCATCTGCTGAGGCGTCCTAAATGAGCATGTATCCAAAGTCAGACATGAAAAAAAGAAGAGCGGGCGCCTCATCCCAGTCATTCTCGCACACCCGCTGCACCATATCACGTGGTCTGCATATAATCCTTGATCGGCACCGGGAAAGGCGTAGTAGCAGTGCGCCCAGAACGTCCCAACGTTGGATAATCAGTTAATTATTTCTGGACCTGTCTGCTTGCATTGAAGGGACGATTAGCGTCCGTCAGTGGCTGAGCAACCCCTGCCCCACATCTTCATGTTTCCCAACAATGATGGAACCGTTGTGGTTCGGTATGTGGGAACACAACGGAACACAATGACTGAACCGCGAAAGTCTGGCGAATAACGGCCTCCTCTATGCAAGAAGACACCACGTTGCCAGTTAGCAGCTGGGAGCGGCGGTTGGGTCTGGAGGCTTCCACGGTTTTGAGATAATATTCTCAATATGTATTCTCCCGTAGAGATGTGGAGCTTCAGCTGACAGAAACAACGGGCGTAACTTAATCAACTTCGCTTGCATTGGAATAAGGAGCAGAAAAATTGAGAGAAATAGGAGCAACAGGAAAGTTAATTGTTTCGAGTTTGCGGAATGCCAATCAACTCGTCCTCCAGCTCCACGGCCCGTTGATAGATATTGACTTGGCCCCCACCCCCCCTTCTTTTTTTTTTTTTTTTTTTCTTGTGTGTGTGTGTGTCTTATATAAACACTGAAACAGTCGGCCGAAACCAGACCAGGAACATTGCTTTATGAAAAGTGCATAGCACGGAAAGGGCCCTACAAATACCCGATCTTTTGCTCCGCTTCAAAGACTCGAACGGCCATGAGATTGGCGGTATTGCTTGAATCGTCTCTGGGCTTGACTACTTCGAAATGTTGAGCATGAATGTATCTGACGTACGCCAAATCTCCAGCGGACATGGCTATGTTATATCCGATGCTATGAGATGCCTATATGTGTCGTCTTGATCGAAGGCTTGCACTTTGCTGATTAAAATAAAAAAAAGCATAACTATAAACTTGGTCTCCAATCATACTTCTGGCCAAGTCTTCTTGCACCTGAGTATTTTTTGCAGTGCTATGCTCATCTATAATCTATATATATGCGCTCTTGGTATGATATCAGGCCGGCCTCTAAGGCAGTGTCGACAGTTCAAGCACGGCAAACTTCGCCCGCTGAAACTGCATCCCAGCTTTTACTGTCTATTTTAAAATACAAAGGATAGCGCAGAAGAAATTCCGCAGCCCACCCAACAACTTGAGGTTGCAGTCTTGCAACATGTTTTACCACAGCCAATTTACACCGGCTCCCATCATTTCGTTAACAGGAGGAAAACGAGTATTGTATCATTCCCCCAGCAGAGCTAACACAGTCCCGGTTCGACCTGAGGACTCATAACCTCATCCATCCGATATATATATCTCCATATATTCCCAAAGAAGCGGCCACATCTAAGCTATGGGGGCCCCGAAAGTTTGAACCGTAGAGCAAGTTCACCGCATCAAGCATCGCTGGCTCGACTTGATCGCTGGCAGACTTATATTGACAAAATTAAACTCATTTCCAAGGACTCCTCGGTTCCCGACAATCACTGACCGCTGATCTTTTCTACCCTTCACATGATGGCTCAATGAATTAAATTGCCGCCGAGGACCAAAACTGAATGATTACTTGAGTGAGCTGGATCCTGGTGGAATATAACATATTCTCAGCTGGCGAAATTCGATGTCTCTCTGACACGCGCGGTAAACTCAAAGCTGGTGGCTTTGATATGGAGGAGATTGAGATGTTCTTTGATATCAAAATGTAGCGGAAATCCTCCCACTGCCCGCTGTTAATTGGTAGAACCAAATCTCTACTTGGGGGCTCGCGCTCCACGGCCACAAATGTCAAACCAACTTCCATCCCACCCTCTCTCCGCCACCTGTCTCCGCCACCTCTCTCCCGACCACCCTCCAACGTCGCCAATTCCGTACCACATCCATTGGCCCTACGAACCCTCAAGCACCTCGTCAGGAAGTGGCAAAAGTTCACGGGCCTCGTACATGCCAGGGCCACTGAGAGATGTTCTATCTCCAGAATCACAACCAAAGCCAGCGCATCTCGCATCTTGCACCTCGACCATCCCAGCGTCTATGCCCTGCCATATCCTCGCTGTTCTAAATGGCCCTGACTTCCCCCCCCCCCCCCCCCCCCCTCGCAAAGAGGCTGCCCTTCATTATCAAGAATTATGAAAGATCAACGTTCCTTCCAAACCAAGTAGACGCACCTAAGCGAATCTTATCCGTGTGATGCAGCGCTGCAGTCACACGTGCTGAGCGGTGTTGTTTGTAGTTTTATTGGTGGTGTAAGACGGTCAGCTAGATCGGCACTGATGGGCAGGATGAGCGCCAGACGTGAACCTTGGAATCCATAGTTCAATACCTCCCAAGGTAGGGGTGGGATAGAGCATTCATGTTTATATGACTGAATGAACGGGGTTAGATCACTGCAGAAGATCCGACGCACTGCGATGGTTCCGAAGCCAATGACTGCCGGCGAAGCTCTGTCAGTAAGAAGCAATAACTACAGTTAATGCAAAATGGCGGACTAACTAATAGTTAACGTAATCCACCCCGTATCCCAACTAACTAGATTTTAATTCAAAATATCTCCCCACTACAACGCTCAATTAAATTAAATTAAATTACCCTAGATTGAGGACATCTTATCCTTGTGTGTCTGAGAGTGCCGCAATTGCTGCAGCGTTGTGGAGCCCGTTGGCGTGATGCAGGCTCAGTTGGCGGAGGCTGGCAGAGTTGAATATTCAGCTGTTCAGCAGACTCAACTAGAAGACTCTGAGCTTCTTCACTAGTTAAACCTCCATCTGCTTGTTGAATTCTGCGTGTAGATCTTTTGCATTTCTGCTTCTCTATCTCATTCACATTGAATATATCCTGGTACTGCTTCTTCATGATGATGGTACAAACCATCCCATAGTCACAAGCTTTGATAATTGGTCAAGGCCTTCCACTAAGCCTTGAGGTTGACGTTTCATAAGTCTTTTAATCTTATTCACTTGCTGGTGAAATTGCCGCGGATTATAGGTGTTTAAAGCATCCAGGATGTGACTGAATTGCTAGAGCTACTGTGTGAGGGGATAGAAGTGCAGAGCTGACTGAATATTCAGCTGCTGAATAACATAGTCAGACTGAAATGGTGCTCTTCCAGTAGTCTTGAAGCCACTCTGAATGCTCTGAGCTTTGAAAGCTTTCATACAGACTGCAGGATAAGCTTCTAAGAAATCAATCTTTCAAATAGCATTGATTTCAAGTGCATTCACTGCTCAATCAAGCCATCATATGCCTGCTTTAGCACTGCAAAAACACTCACATCTAGAGGCTGCAAAAGATGTGATGAATGTGACAGCAAGCAGAGTGAAATGATTCCATTATTCATACAGATTTGATCAAATTCTGGTGTAAGATGGCTGCCATGCCTGTCCAGGATAAGAAGAATAGAACTGTCAACCTGACGCGGCTTCACTGCAGGAATAAACAGCCTAGAAAGCCATTTGATTTCTATCTTATCCATGGCTCAACTGTTGGGCACTAACATTCAGCCTTCAAACCAGCCTTCCTGCAGGCTCTGCTCTCTGAGAATGATATATGGTGGTAGTGCTCATCCAGAGGCATTCAATGCCTCAATCACAGTTACTCATTCATGATTTCCAGGCTGTAGAAGCTTAGCCCGGCAGTAGCACTCACTACTAGAAATAACCTTAGTAGTGATGCAGAGTCCCATTGCAAAGCCAGCCTCATCACAATTGTATCTATCTTCTGACAGAATTCCAAGCTCAGCAATTGTATCCCCCAAGGTCTTAAATCAATCCTGTGAATTCACCCTTGCAGTTTGATCATTAAGTCTATGACTGAGAGTGAAACAAAGCACCTCAAAAAGACATGCAGCTTCAGAAATTGATGATATTTCTTACTTTTTAATAGCATTTATTGAGAGCTCAAGTCTTCCCTTCGTCTATATGGAGTTTCTAGAATTCTTATTGCGAATTGGTGGAAGAATTGCGCGTTGAGCTGGATGAGAAGTTAAATTAGAAGATATTTTGAATTGGCTGCTCCCTCGGGGGTGAAGTACGTTAGTTAGAACCAATTGGCTTATGGTTAACTATTATGATCCGGCCCTCTCGTACACGACGTCATCAACTTCAAGGTAACTAGATAAAATACGTGCTTCGCGAATACCTAACCTAGACATATATATATATCTCGTACCCTTTCTTCCCTCCCCATATTCCTTCAATAACAGAATGCAGATGCACATATATCTCCTCCTTGGAAAACAGTGCTTCTACCGGTAAACAAATAAGCTCAGTTACTACGTTAACAAAGAAGGAGGGGGGGTTTGAGAGATTCTTTTCAAAAACTAAAATGAAATGAAATGACATAAAATACCACAATGCGCTCCCCCTCCCCCTACCTATTTTACCCGTGCCACAAACAAAATCAACGGGGGACAAACCCAAGGGGTAAACGCAGAGCAAAGGGGTAATTTGTAAGTATCAAAGAAACTTATAGCTAACTAGTTATGGAAGCAATAAGAAGAAACGCATCAACAAAAGAAGTGTTTTCCCCTTTTGTTTTTCTTTCTGTGCACTCTGCTGCTGGCATTGATTAACTTTCCACGAATACACATGGATATATATATGTATGTAGATGTATGTTTACATAATAACTATGACTCTAATTTCCTCTGACCTTTTACATACCAAAGTCAAAAGAAGTAAAAGAATTAATTTATCCACCTCATCTTAATCCCCCCTGTCACAAAGGAAACAACATATCTATCTACAGAAGCCACTAGTCTAAGAACCCAACACAGCACAGGACAGCACAGCACAGGACAGTGTAACCAAAGCAGAAGACACAGGCGCGGTTCAGAATAGAATAGAACAGAATAACAAACCCCAATCAACACGTCTACAAAAGTACCCACGCCCATCTCAATCAACCACAAAAAGTAAAAATAAAATAAAAAGAAAAGAATATCCGCTGCCCGTCGAAGATGCCTAGGTGACAACCCTTGGAACGGGACCCAAGAGAACAAAAGGAAAGGATCACTGGTCGGAGCAACAACGTGCAAGTTGAAGGAACTGTTAGCACTGGTAACCTGTTGTGTAGCACAAACAGAAATTGGGTCAAACGTCAACGGAGTGTGGTACCATGGTTAGATGGCTCCATCTATCTAACTTTCTCTCAAACCAAACAGACCCCATATAACTAGATAAAAAAGACTTCAAAAAATAAAATGCTTTTTTAACTGAACGGAGAATCCTCGAGCTGGGTAATATTGATTTTTTTAAAAAAAATAAAAATAAAAATAAAAATATAGTATTGAGTTGAGGTAGTTGAGAAAACAAAAGATATATTAGTTAAGCGAAGAATACATGGCGACTGGGCTTAGATCGGGTTAAATAAAAAAGTACAGAAAATATTTTTATTTATAATGAAGACAATAAAAGAATACATAGCTAAATGAAAAACACCACTTTTTCATCACAAAAAGCCTTCTTCTCTCTCTATCCCCTTTTCTCAACCCCCTGGCTTCCCTCTTCATCATCCCATATCGTTTCCTCTTGTCACCTCCGTTCAATTCCACGTGACAAGCTTTAGTATCTGTACTTTGAGAAGTGGAATTGACGCTGAAAGAAAAGGGGCGAAAAAAAGGGAAAATGCAAATCCAACAAAGGCAAGAGGAGAAAAGGGAAAAAGAGACAAAGGAGAGAAAAAAATAATTCAACCAAAAAAAGAACGGCTACCACCAAATCATAAGTGAAGAAGAAGAAGAAGGGGAGGGGGAAATGATAAAATAAGAAACATATAAAGAAATACCAAACAAAAGGAGCTCAAGGCCCAGGCCCTCACACTCAACCAATTTGCCTCTTCCCCTGCATCCAACCCCTTTCCATCTTTATGAAAAAAAAAAAAACCATGAAAACCCTGCAGACTATCACATCTAGGCAACAGCCATTGCGGCGCCGGCTGGTCTCGCGACGTTCGAAGCGTATCTGCCAGCGAAGTTGCCTATAATTACCATTGTTGTATTAGCGCACATTCCATCCGACCCATCCATCAAATCATCAATCATATGGAAAATCAAAACCTACCAGGAGGACTGTAGTTGCAAACGGTATTCCAGCCCAGGTAGTTAGAGCACTTGACAGTAGCACAGCCGACGGACTTAGTTGACTTCCAGACGATCTGGGTGAAGTGGCCCCAGTCGCTGAAGCGGGACATGTCTGGGTTGTCCTCGCCGTAGAGGTCGATGTATAGATCGGCCTCGTTGTTGTACATAAGGTTGGTGATCATTTTGCCGATATTTTGGCGATCGATGCCGTAGCCGATGTTTTGGCCGTAGCTTTCGTCGCCGATGGAGCTGGATTTTTTTTTTATATATGTTAAATAAAGGGGTTATGGTAAAGGGGTGGAAATGTCAAGAGGGTTATGTCTTGACTTACACATCATGCTTAAACACGCAGCGATTGGCAAGAGTAAGCGCGTAACTCTCCATACTGTCGGACCATGTAAGGCTGGGGGCGGAGTGGTTTGCACGGTGGATGTTGTGATGTTTGAGGACCAAGCTCTTGTAGTCTGTTCCATACGAAGGGGTAGGAGGGGTGGACGGTTTGGGCTTAGCGACCGGGGGAGCAGGTTCTTGCTCGTATGATGGCTGCGGTTGCGGCTGCGGCTCCGGCTCCGGCTCCGGCTCGGGCTTTGTGTATTTGGGCTTCTGGTTTTTGGGGTCTGCCTGGACGGCAGCATTGTCAGGGTTCGGGGTAGGGGTTGGCTGGTTGCCCGCGATCACGTATTCGGTGACGGTGACGATGGTGACGTCTGTAGCGTAGGCTCTTCGTTGGATTGGGTTGGCGATGCTGGCGGAGACCAAGATGGCGTTGAGGATGATGGAGGAACGCATGATTGTTGTTGGGTTTGGGGGTATGGTGTTTTGAAATGAGTGTATCAACCAGGACAATCAAATCAGACAGATTTTTCTTTTTCTCCTTTTTTTTTCTTTTCCTTCTTCCGATCACGCACAGGTCAACTGTGGATGATGGTATAAGTAATTAAAAAAAAAAAAAAAAAAAAAAAAAAAAAAGAAGAAGAAGAAAAAAAGTCGACGTGATATGATTTACTCTTCCACAGGAAGAGAATGACAGATCTGACCCAGGCAGACAGACACAAGTGAGAGAGTGTATATTTTATTTTTCGTTTTTGCCAGCGGGCGACGGCGTTGTTTGTAGCTGCACGGAGCACTGTGCAAAAGGAGAGACTGTTCAAGCAAAAAAAAAGAGCCAACACACGACGCAGATGAGCACCCTTCAAGGAGTGGGGAAAAGTGCAACACTTGGTTGTGTATTGAGAATCGAGAAAAGAAGGGTTGCTTGAGTGGAAAGAAGCCGAAGCCCGCGAAGAACCAGAAAGAAGGACGACTGGAGGATATAAAGGCGCTGCTGCACGGAGCGAAAGAGAAGCTGGGCGAAGAGAAGGAAAAGGGGGTTCATATAGACAGCGGCTGCTGGGGGAGGCGGCGTC